AATCTGTAATGAACATATTGACATATACTATTCTCAGGACTCAGATACTCCTGTATACTATTCTAGTGCTTTGAATCATGGAACAGCATAAATTCTGTATCATGGAAAGTAACTGTGTGGCTTTTTCCAGATAATATCATATAATCCATTCAACCTCACTACTTTGATCAAACTGATCAAAGTTCGCTAACATTGAACTTTTGTATCAGATAAGCTTTTTATCTTCTCTTTAACTGGATCCTAACAAGATTGACCCTCTCCCCTCTATAAAAAGATCATTTCCTGAAAAATGTTTTGCCAGTGACTGGATTGAACATCAGATATGAAGTTTTCAAATATTAAGGTGAATTAAAATATCATTCAACAGCCTAATCAAGTAAAATCTGCATACAATCATTGCATATGCAGAAAGACTACATCTCACATCCTTACAGAGGATTCAGCTGAGAAAGATAGCACAGACAAGTGTTTCTGGCATTCTTACTGAAAATATTTTTGAAAACGCTATGATCATTTGGTTTTTGGATGAATCATTGATGCAAAAACCCTCAAATTCCAGATGAATAAGATAGAAAACTGATATGAAATCTAATTAGATTTGAAGTTTTGAATTTTCAGTGTGTTGTTTTTTTTTTTTTTCTGAAAAACAAATGTAGCACAAAATGAAAGTACTTTATTCATAATTCAGAAAAAGTGAAATAATGCCCAAACTTAACAATAGGTTCTTATTTGGAAATATTTTCTGAGTTAAACAGTAAAGCTTGTAAAACATTATGAACAGCTCCCAATGAAATAAGTGACTTGTCCAACTGGTCCTGATCTATTCGATACACAAAGCATCCATAAATCTGATTAAAAAAAAAAAAAAAATCAACCAGCAAGCATCACTTGGAAAATCTATGTTTGATGTAAGCCATGTAAATGAAATATTAGAGTCTGTTCAGAATTAGAAAAAAAAAAACCTCTTGCTCTGTGTATTTTGTATACCAGCAAAACTCTCTCTGTAAGATAATCATTTCAGTCAAAAGCTTTTGCTTAAGAAAGAACTATGAGAGTTCGATATAGTGCAAAATAGTCCGAGTTTCATTTTAAAATTAAAAAAAAAGCAAAACAAATAAAAAATAAACTTTAGAGACTATTACATTTTATAAAACCATATCACAAAGGAAATAAAATCTTAAAAAATGAACTATACTCATTTAAACACACTTCAGGAAACAAACATTTAATATATTTTTAAAAAATTACATTATGGGCACTTTAAATGTAGTCGTATTAGTTCTGAAGTGTTTATATTGTCAGAGAGAGACATGAGAAAGACAGTGATCAGCAATTTATTTTCAGAATTTATAAAATGTCGAGTAATTGAGTTGTTTTTTAAATGCTGTAGAAAAAATACCCTGAAGGATAAACACCTCAGTTCTAGGAAAAGAAAATATTATGCACATAATCATGATGAGCACACAACTGTTAGTAGAAAAGAGTAATTTATGTTCAAGCTTATTAAACTTGCAAAACCAGAAGAGATGATCTAAGGGAGGTTTAGAAGTCCTTTCTTATGTACATTCCACTTGCACTATTAATGAAAATATTTATCAAGCAAGGAATACTTATATATTATTAAAGAAAATATAATAAAGATCAATCACACATAAAGTAATTCAAGTTACGATTTGCTTTAAGCTACATATATGAATATTTTGCTGAATTAGGTTCATGAATCTAGATTTTTGTCTGTCCAAAGCAATGAACACAATTAGGCAACCAGGATGATATGATTTTGCAATAATGATTAGTTACATTATATCTGTTTATGTCTTCATGCAGTTGGAAATATGCAAAAATAACAAATGATGATTCTGGGCATGTAAGGAAATGAAAAGCCTATTAATCTTATCAGTTTAAAGCTGCAAGTTGAAATTCACAGACATGAGAGCTTCAATCTGTCATTATCATATAATAGAATGTCCTCTGTCAGCAATTTGTGTACATGCATGGAGCATAATATAGCCAGGGAAAGAATCCTTGAATGCACAATTTGAAGGTAAAGATATAATCTATTAGTTTGAAGTGAAACAAGTACTTGGGGGATTACTCAATTTTCCCAGGGAAAATCAAACAAAAAAACAAACAAACAAAAAAACAACAAAAAATAACCAACAAACAAAACCCACCAGAACAATTTTCTCATAACGCTGTAATGCTTATGTATATAAATGGATGGAAAATATTGTAAATGTATGTACAATAAAATGATAATTATGTTTTGTATTTGTATAGTAAATTAAAGAGTCATCATCAAGGGACTGAAGCAGGTAATTAAACTGACTCATCTGCTTTCATCAAACTTGTAAAAGTACATACTAAGTAATGCAGAAACATGAAGTTTGAGCATTCACTGTATTACATGGAAACTGTTATAGAGGTATTTCTTACAAAGATATACGTGGTACTATTTAGGTATGTAGGAGCTTTGTATTAGCAAAGTCCATTCTCTTCAGTGCTGTTAACCTAGATGACAGTCACTTTGCCTAGATACATATTGGGAACAAACCTATCTAAATACTAAAACAATCAGGCTGAGTCTGACAGCTATTTACTTCTGTATTTCTTTCATTCTGAAGAAATAACTATTTATTTCAAAACCTTTCAGTACATATGAGTGTAGCAAAATGAATTTCCATTCATTTCACTTTGACATTACACATTTTCTCTCTCAGGGTAGATAGAAAGGGAACTGGCTTGAGAGAATGGCAGGAAACGAACCCAAATGTTTGTTTTTGCACTTTCTTTGGGGAATAAAAAAAACTGTGGACAGTTGATGCAAATCAGTGAAGATAAAGGATTACAAATTTTACTTTGGCATGCTAAAAACAGGTCAATTAAGTGTGTGAAAAGTGTAGAAGCAGATAAAGAGGAAAGCATGCACACTTCATCATCTTGCACATTTATCTAATTTCACAAATAAACAAGATTTTTATGAGATATCAAAGTATAAGATTCAAAACACCGTGAATTGTGTTAATTTATTTTATTAAGAAATATTCTTTCTCTCAACCTATTTTTTTTCCTATTTTCTTCTTAGAACACAGTAATACTCAAGATCTACAAGTTGCAGGGGATATATAATCAGGCACATACTGTGGATGAAGATGACATGTGAAAATCAGTACAAATTCCTATGAGTAAAATAAATCTGGCAGAGTGTAAGTGGAAATTACTTCCCATACAGGTATTGTACTGGCCTGCATAGTTATGTATATTCTTTTGCTTGAACTTTTACCCCCTAAGTATTTATAAAAAAGACTCAGTAGAAATAACTATTAGCTACATTCACATGAACTCAGAGAATACATTAGCCTACTCTCAGCAGTCAAAGCTCTGTTTTCTACTTGTCAGAGTGATATCACAGAGTTCAAAAGATTCTGAGTTGCGTTAATAAATTATTACAAAGATAAGATATCTGATGCATACTTGAGTTTTCATCAAGAGCTGATGAGCCTAAATATGACATATTATTATTGAAGTATTCAAATAACATTATATGATAAAAACATAAGACAAAATAATATATTAAGGTAACTACCACATATTCTTGGAATAGAAATTCTATAATATCTAGGACTCAAAAATCTTAAAAAAAAAAAGAAAAAGAAAAAAGGAAAGAAAGAAGGAGAGAAAGAGAGAAAGGTATAAAAAAATTAGCTTTTTAGAAAAAGTGTTTTTTTTTTTTCTCTCTCTCTTCCTGAATGTAATATGTGCTAATCAACAGTCCCAACAATTCTGTCATTCCAGAGTACAGTTGTCTGGCAAACATTTAAGAGGAGAAAATACAGGAAAAGAAAGCAGTGCATCTGGAAATATTCTACCTTTATGCTATCTAAGTATTGCCGTTTCACTCACTTTGTCAGCCTTTTTTGCAGGCTATCTTTGAACTCTTTCGGAGTTCAACTTCATTTAGTAACTATTTCTCCATTCAATTCACTTAATCAGATTTACATTATATTTTCAAAAGCATTAAACAAATTGATCTGCAAAATACAAACATAGCAACCCTCAGTGTGCAACCCAGAAATTATTCAGTGTTCTTTCTGTCAGCAGTTTCTAGCTCAGAGTTAGAAACCTTGTTCAGTAACTAAGACTTCTATACCTAATTTTGAATTTGCAGCATTCACTGGAGAAGGATTTGAGATTAATGACTACATCCTAATTGAAATCATTTGACTTAACCACATAGTTATAAAAATCTCATTTCCTATTCTTTTTTGTTCCCTTTGTTACCCAATATTTAATTAGATATATAGAATGGACCAGCTTTAGCTCTATCCTAAAGTCCTTCTATTAAGGACATAGCAAATACATGTCTGTATCCCTGCTCCAAATATCTGTTTGCTGTCTGAGAAGCTTAAGTACCTGGCCATTGGGAACAGATAGTAAAAAATGTCTGGTTCCTGCCTGTCTCTCATGTTATGTTTGATTTTACAGTCATGATCTAAGGAGACCCAAGTCACTAGATCCTACTGTTGAGATAAGCAGGAGAGAGCCTTCCTGAAAATGCCCCTGGGGCTAGGTGTGAGTTTGGGATTTATCAGCTCACAGAAGCAGGAGGCAGGCAGTTCTGACATGCCCGCTGGCAGAAATTGTGTCCACATAGCATCACCACGGCAACTGCAGAGTAAGAGCAGAAGAGTGGGAGTTTCAAGAATTTTACCAGCAGTTGGATGCTGCTGAAAGAAAATGGAAATTAACAATCCATGTGAGTATGGTCATTTCTAAAGTGGGACTTAAGTGTTTCTGAAATTATCTTCCTAATAACTCAAAACTGGATTATAAATTACACAAACAAAATTGCTTTTTTGTTTTATAGCATCATAAATATTAATTTTTAAGAGTCTATGTGCTTGATTATATATTCCTTTACAGCAGCTTCATGCCAAGGAAAATCAAGCTCTCCATATAATGTCTAGCTCACTTTTCAAAAAATTTAAGAGAGATGTCCAAACAAGTCAGAATGCCCCTGTTCACTGAGTATCAATATTACAAAGACTAAACAGTCTGTCTGGATTTAGCAAAGCCTACAGCCTTGCATGTATTAGCTATGAATGCATTCACAGCTGATCCAGTCTATCTGTGCTTTTAAAAACAAGTGCACTTTTAAGCACATAGACACTGTTTACTTTTCTAGAGCTGTGCTACATTTTTAACATATTGAAGGGATGAACTTTCAAGACAAGTCTCGTCTATTCTTATAAATGTCCTCCAAAAAACCACTTCTCAGAAATTCATGACTGTTTTCAACTATGTTGATAACAGTACCATGTCCCCAGAAGTTATTTCGGAGTCCTGACTGTGTGTAGAGCTAATTCCAGTGTCAGAGTCAGTGTCGTTTATGTCCAAATTAGTCACTCTATGAACAAAATCAGGAACTGCAGTGCTGTTACTGGAGATGCCACTGCCCTTAGGCGGCTCCTCGTTTGATGGAAGCCTCACTTCAATGTTGTCTTTAACATGTAGTAAATTAAATTCTTCTGTAAGAAGTTCATATTCTTTTTCCTTCTTTTGAAGCAGCGAGTCCCTGTAGGTAAGTTCTTTCTGAATGCAGCTCAGGTATGAATTGATTCTGAGACCATCTTTCATACTTTTTTCCAGCTCATACTTTACATTGTCCAAATCTGAGTTTTCCAGCTGAGCATTAGTCGCTCCTTCTGTATGAACAACATCTTCATCTTTTTCTGAGCATATACCATGTACCTCTTTTTCTATTTCAGCACACAGCTTCTCTATTAATTGTTTGTGATGTTTTAGTCTCTCTTCAACCTGTAAAATTCCCTCACTTTTGCTGAAATAATCATGCATCTCTTTTTGATCATCTGCCCTACTCCCTTGCTGCTCAGCCTCACTTGGATTGATCATTAAATATGAGTCCTGCACATAATTTTCTCCATCGTTGGCAACACGGTCTAAGTGGAATTTTGCTTCACATTTTTCGATTTCCATATCAAGTTCCTTCATTCTAAGGACTTGCTGATGAATGGTATGATCTTGAGATATGATTAAATGAATCAGTGTCTCCATATTATCTCTGTCTTGCTGAACACTGTCCTGTTTAAGTTTGGCAAGTTTCCGGAATGTCTTCCTAACAATTTTCTTTTGCTTGTCAATTGGCAACATCTTCATGTAATTTGCTGGGCTGAGTTCCCACTGCTTTTCTATATTTTGTACTACCTTAGCTTCAGCTGTTTTCCACAATGGAAATGAAAGGAAAGCATCGGACTTTACCAACACAAAGTGCAAATTGGGCTGCTCTTCTCCCCAAGCTTTCCAAAGTCTCAGAATCTTTGTCAAAGGAGGAAGGACTCGCTCGGAGCCTCTCCATTTTTCTACAATACAGTAATCACTAGGTTTTCCAAAGAGGACTTTTTTCTCCCCAAATGTTGCTTGATGTTCCTCAAGCAGAGCCTGAATCACTTCTGCGCATGTTGTGCGCTTTGTCAGGCCACATACAATCTTCTCTTCTTGGCAAACCCACACCACAATCTCTCGTTCATTTGAAGCCATGTCTTTGCTGGGAGATCTAGGGAAAAAAAAAAAAAAGAAAAAAAGAGACCAAATTTAAATTATATTTAAATGGCAAAGACTTTATGAACACCACCAGTATTCTGATATAACCAATACACTGAAAAAATCCCATATTCTTGTACCATACAATATACTTGTTTAAATTACATTAAAAAATACGTTCGGAATTAGTAACAGAAAAACACAGCAATTTCTACTACTGCTCCAACGTTACTACTTGTCCAGCTGTTAATTCCCACAGAAATGTGACATCTGTTTTTTATGGACTTAACAAGTGTTCATTAATAATAAGCAAGACAATTTCCAAGCTATCCTAAGCTAACATGACTTTCAGATCTGCATATCTGCTCTAATCACATTAAATATTCTGTAATCTCTTATTATCATTCAGACTTCTAAAGTGAAGAATCTTGCTTCAAACTACACAGCAAAACAGTGTTGAAAATGAGAAAAAGATAATAGAACACTATTTTAAAAGAATCTGACGGTAAAAAAGATCTATTGCTCAGGCATGTTGACTGCACTCCATACCTTGGTGTCATTTGCAAACTTGCTGAGGATGCACTTGATCCCACTGTTAATGTCACTGATGAAGATATTAATATCAGTTCCAGTCCTGACTCCTGAGAATCATAGAATCATAGAATCATAGAATCACCAAGGTTGGAAAAGACCTAAAAGATCATCCAGTCCAACCGTTCACCTATTCCCAATAGCTCCTACTAAACCATGTCCCTCAATACAACATCCAGCCTTTCCTTGAACACCCCCAGGCTCGGTGACTCCACCACCTCCCTGGGCAGTCCGTTCCAGTGCCTGACTACCCTTTCCGAAAAGTAATACTTCCTCATGTCCAGCCTGAATCTCCCCTGCCGTAGCTTGAAGCCATTCCCCCTGGTCCTATCACTAATGACACGAGAGAAGAGGCCGACCCCCAGCTCACTACAGCCTCCCTTCAGGAAGTTATAGAGAGCACTGAGGTCTCCCCTGAGCCTCCTCTTCTCCAGGCTGAACATTCCCAGCTCCTTCAGCCTCTCCTCATATGGCCTGTGTTCCAGACCCCTCACCAGCTTTGTTGCCCTCCTTTGAACACGTTCCAGGGCCTCAATATCCTTCTTGCAGTGAGGGGCACAAAACTGGACACAGTACTCGAGGTGCGGCCTCACCAGTGCTGAATACAGGGGAACAATCACCTCTCTGCTCCTGCTCTCTGTCCTGAGGGACACCATTGTCACTGATCTCCACCCACACAGCGTGCCATTGACCACTACTCCTTGGCTACGATCTTATGAGCAGTTCATCATCCACTGAATAGTCCATCCATCACATTCATGTATTTCCAATTTGGAAAGAAGGATTTTATGAGATATAATAATATAATTATAATATAATATAATAAAAATATAATTATAAATATAATATAATTATAATACACATGAGTTTCAATTCAAGTATGTGTGGTGGGCACAAAAGGAGGAGTTAGTCCTGCACTGTGCCTTTCCCTCTGCATGTTCTGCTGTTGCCTACGTAGTCTGTACTTGAGTTATGCAAACTGACTCATTCAAAATATCACTAAAAATCACTCCAAGTTAGAAGTTTAAAATCTGAAGCCACATTACTAGATGTCCAAGGCTTCATGCAGCCAATAGTCATGGGTTGGATGTGCCTGTTTTAGAGCTAACTTTTAAATTTATCTCCTTCTGAGTTCTATACTATCATGGGCCATGGTAAATGGAGAAAATATGGCTAATAGGAGAGGAGGATGCGATGTCCAGGATTTTCCTATCCTGTAGCCTCCACACACTTGTTTGGAATTGGTGATTAGGCCTCTTGCCTAAAATGATAAAAATAACAAGTTCTCTGAGGTAATGCACATTTTTTTTGGATTTTCTGGTATCGCTTCCAGTTTAATCCAGTCTGACAAGGAAGCCTGAAAATGATAATGACAATGTCCACGGTATTCTAAGGATTCAATACCACACTTATTTATCTTTTTTTTTTTTTTCTTTCCTATCCAGAACTACTCATTTATAGGACACTTCTAGTTGATTTTTCTTTTTTGAGATTTACTAGGAATGGAGTTTTACTTAGGTTAATTGTGTTAATAGGTTACAACCTATAATTATTAAAGCAATATAGCTTATTTCATTTTTCTTAAGTATTATACAACAGAGGAGAAAAACTACAGTGCATTAAATTGAACTATGATTGACTCAGCTATAGGTGCCACTCTGACCAGAAGGCAATAACCCTCAAGAGACAGGAGACTGGAAATAAATACTGAAAAAACCTACCAGAGCAATTTTATTAGTATCATGATACAGGAGAACTCTATCAAACTGTGTTGCTTCAAGTCTTAGAATATTCTTCTGTAAAAGCTGTGTTTTGTTAGAATGATAACTTCATTTTCTCATTTCAATAAGTCCCTCTTACTTCAGGATTTTATTGCAATTATTTTTTAAAACTAGTATTCAGAAGAAAAATGCATTTTTCCTACACTATTTAAGAAAACATGGAAGAATTTATGGCAGACACAGAAAATGGCAAAATGAATTGTCAAAAATAGTGTCTCAAACAATGTTTCCTACTACCATACAAGTAACTGACATAAAAATAAAACTGTACTACCAGTCACTGAATTTCAGCTTGAAAAAGTACTGACAGAAAAATTAAAAAATGCAATGAGTGTTAAAAATTTCAGAAATATTAGACTGAAATATTGAAGCAGTAAGTTTAGAACATGTTTTCCCTGTTGCTTTTCATAATGAATAAATACATTTTAGGGTATGAATATCATATTGGTCTTTTACCATTCTTCTGAGAGTCTTAACACAATCTGTTCACACATGGAAATTCTTCCTATTTTTTCTCATTCTTCTTTTTCACTGATTGATATATTGTCTCTCTCTTGTTTTTTTTTCAGTGTGTAAGAGATTATCTGAGTTACAAAGTTTACTTTCTCTTTTCCTTCTGGTTCATTTAAAGTTTGTATATGAAGACATTTTCTCTCTGTGATATAAGTAAATGTTCAGAAAAAACTTAAAAACCCACAGATAACCTCACTGCATTTGTGTACTGATAAATACTTATGTTATACACATTTTTCATATGGACGTGTTGCTGACTTCAGCAGGGGTTCAGCATGCTTCTGATGGAAAGATACATTTATTGGAAAGCAATTTCTACAAGATCTCTGCAAACTTTACCCAAATACAGATATAAAATATGTAGAAAATTTTCTAATTTTCTAGCTGCTCATCCTCCTCCCCCCATCCACAATATTTTTTCAGTTACAGCACACTTGTCCAGCCAGACTCTATGCTGAGCTTTCTTTGGAAGGATTTTTCTTTAATTGTTCATAGAAAAGTATACATGTTTACATATTTAAAATACTGAAGTCTAACTAATAGTAGCATCACAAGAATGGAAAATTTATCCACATAATGGTGCACAGAGGACTCAAGTAGCTTATACCCACAGATATATACTTCCATACATGTGCATACAATGCATATAACATATATTTGTAATTATACTCTCACCTTTTGCAGAAAAGAAGAAAAAAATCTGAACACTGTTTTAATTATAGGATCAAAATAAGTCTGTAAAGTGCAAATTTGTCATTATTTTTTCCATGTTTGTCACAACATATATTATCCTCATTTTTATTCAGCAGCATTACTATATTTTTAATTATGCTTTTTAATCCAAAATGAACTAATGTGTCATTTATACTCTTACAGTACTATGGAATTCTAATATATTTTAAAAAAATCAAAGGTGTTCTTTATTATCTTCCACTATAAAGTAGTAAACAGATGTGGCACACCATGGTCCTTTTAAGTAAAATTAATTCTGTAGTTCCTTAATCAACACAACCCAATTTATGCCCTCCCACTCCCCAAAACAAAACTTCAGCTTGTCTGTCACAGCATAACAATTACGAAGGAGTTGTTTTAGGATGCAAGAAGATGCTAGTACTAGGAATCATCTTTTATTAAGTATGCTTTCTTTATAGAAAATAGAGGGCAGATTCTGCATATATCAAGTACATTTCATCTCACTTAGAAATCCAGAGCTTAAGTCAGTATAAATTTGCTACCAAAGCTCCTCCTTGTCATGAAAGAAGACCTCCACAATCTAAACCACCTATGATCTTTGGTATGAAAATTCAAATGAAACTTTCTCTGTTTTGTTAACTAGGAGAGATCCATGTGATCACCTTCAACTAAATATCTCATTTTCAGGCAGCTAAATACATGTGAAAGTAATCCAATCACATTATGGTTCATTGTTCAAGAGAAATGTAACAGGAATGTAAAATGATTCTTTCTTTTTTCCCCTGAAATTTAATATTAAAAATAACAATATTCAGCAATGAGATCTGCTTTTAGAGGGTCATTTAAAAAAAGAGGAAAGCTTATCATATTTACTGATTCCTTAACCTTTGCATCCTGCAGTTTTGTAAAGGAAGCAAAGGAACTGTCATTTTTTAATAACTCATCAGCAGCTGTTTATCTAGTTAAAATGTTAAAATGTTTGGCTTTCTTGGCTTTCTTGAATAACAGTTTCAGTAAGAGCTTCTTCAAAACCATCTGGACAACTTATTCATTAAAAAAAAAAACCATTTGCTGCTGTTGCTGTAAAGTCTTTAAAGCATTTGAAATCTGTATCTTTGAAGTGGCCATTGAAATGAACTAACTATCCATAATCCATAATTTTAAGGCCTTGATGATAGTGGTAATATGCAGATCTTTTTTTTTTTTTTTTTTTTTTTTTTTTTTTTTTTTCCCCAGCAGAGTCACTTATTGCACAGAAACAGGTGAGAATTTAAACTTTAGAATGGTGAAAAGTAAATTTCGATTATATTTTGTTTGCTTTCATTTTTAGTTTTATGCCTCCTGCTTTTTGACTGTTGCATGTCAGATATACACTTCATTAATTTAATATTCAGGCCTAGGGGAAGAAAAGCAATACATTCCAGCAGTGTATAGA